ATATATATATATATATATATATCAATATATCAGAAAAAACTATATATTTTTTATATATTTTATATTATAATGTGAAAATTTAAATTTTTCAATAAGAATAGGTGGGTTGTGGATATATATGTATATGTATATATATATATATATATATATATATATTATATATGTACAATTATGTATAATAATGTCTATCTATTGAACAGTTGTTTGAGATTGTATATTTTTTATGTCGATGATACTTAATAGTTATAACAGTAATTGGATTTATTTAAATATAATATAAATGTATTGCGAAAAATGATAGTATTACATATTGCTTAACAAACAAGGATATTTGTTAAATATTTTGTAAGTACTGAAAATCTCGTCTGCATTTATATATTTTGTTTTTAAATGCGAAAAAAATTAAAGAATTTTACTTTTCTAAGCTTGTCTTTTATTACGGAATGTTTAGAAAAAACTGTAGTTTTAAGAGCAGAATTATACATGTCCAATGGAATATTAAAAGTTTTAATTCACTTACATTGTTGAATTTGTAAATTTCAACTAATTCAGAAAATGAATTTCATTCGTCTTTGAACAAAATCTATTTCAAAAGTTCGCGTTCGTCGTCATCAGCGCCATCATCTAACGAATAGAATACAGTAACATTGGCCACGTTCAGCAGACAGTCCCGACTCCTGATCAGTGTGCGCTCAGTGATTCTTTGTTACGATTGGTTTATTCACTCAGATCTAGCGAATCACCATAAGCGCTCACTCATCTGCTGTCTGCTGAACGTGGCCATTCACTCGGCAGCGTGCGTGACAAGTTTGAAAATCCCTCGCGCAAATGTAACTAAATCGATACGTAATCAATTCGATTTTGTTTTCTATATAAACAAAACCTTCATTATAACGACTGCGTTAGCTTTTTTTAGCAAGAAATCTAACCGTGCAACAAACATTAATCGTCGTACGTCTCGTTTAATAACTTAACAAGATAAAAATAACGTTTCTGCGTCACCATTGCAGTTATATCGTATTGGCCTAGTTTACACCGAGCACTTGATACGCGTACTAATTAGAAACTTTCTATTAAATTATCTTAATTTCTACAATGCTTTTAATGAATGATGTACTAAGCTGATACACTATGCATTAAGATGATTAATTAAATACGCATATCATGTATAAGTTTATATACATCGTCGAAATTAAGAAAGTTTAATAGAAAGTTACTATAGTTAAGCCCGTATCAGACTAAATTAAGATTAAGATTGCGATTAGAATGGAATTTGACCAATTAAAACAAAGTTTACTAAATTTGAGATTGGTTTTCTTTCTTCTAATTGATTAAATCCTAGTTCAATCTCAATCTCAATCTTTAGTCTGGGTATACGGGCTTTAGTATACGCGTATCAAATGCTAATATAATAGCGATAAATCAATCTTATGATTGGCCATTTGCGAGTCCAATCAGGACTCGTAACACCGGTCGCGCTTCTCTGATAATCTAGGACTCTAGTCCTGACTAGAGTCCTAGATTATCAGAGAAGCGCGACCGGCTTATGGCAGTATCGCAAAAGTACTAGAAAATATTAAAAATGGCGTCGAATGGCCAATCATAAGTTTGATTTATTCGGCAGCCATTTATAATAGCGATAAATCAATTTTATGATTGGCCATTTGCGTGTCCAATCAGAACTCGTAACACCGGTCGCGCTTCTCTGATAATCTAGGACTCTAAGTCCTTCTAGTCATTTGACGAGGGACTCTATCGCGAGGTGTCGCGACCGAACGCGCTAAAGTTGGCCATCCTGCACTCGCGTACCCGCGCGCCGCCGCCCGTTCTTGCCGCTAACTTAGCGCATACGATTTCAGTTTACAGTGCGGAGGGCTCGGGGAAGCCTGAATGTCTGAAGCTGTGAAACAAGCGGGTGAGCGATTTGGAGTATTTGGACCTCTGCGATCTTACGTTGGCTGAAGATGTGATCTGGCCGCGTCGGCTGACGACACGCAGATTGGTAGTCGCGATAGAGTGTGCTCTCGACCTAGGTGTAGGTGATTGTGACCGCGCGCATTCTCGCGAACGAGAACGAGAGAGAGAAAGAGGAAGGAGGGAGAGAGTGAGATATAGACGAGCGAGGGACGGAGCATGCGACCGCGCCTCTGCGACGTTACTCGGTCTGTCGATGAGGATGGGAAGTGCGCCGCTGCCGCCGCCGCCGACGACGACGAGGACAAGGGACGAATGTGAGTCAGGGATAACGTCGTTGCGATACGTCGTGCGGTGCTGCATCATCATCGCTTAGGAATGGTATCGCCGTCCAAGCACCAATATCAGCAGCAGCAGCAGCAGCAGCAACAACAACCACTCAGACAACCGTCGAGAGAGAACAAGTTTAATTCGCGACAAACGACAGGTAAGCCTCGGAATGCGTAATTCCGTATTGCATAATAATTCGCACCGGCTGTTAATGGACATCGCGCTCGCAATAAGATGCTCGCATGACGTCTTTGACACGCTCATTTACGTGCTCATCTCCTCTACCAGTGATCATTGAGAGTGCTCGGAATATCTTCGGCGAAGAGGGAGAGAGAGAAAGAGAGAGAGAAACGATTGTTACATACTGTCACTGAGGAATTCGAGTTGTTTTACAGAAAACCGAGATGCCTTCCAAATCTGTGTTAGCTTGGACGCTACATACAAATAGCGAAATTTTTGCCGAGGTTGGAACGAATACTCTGAGCGATCACCAGCGTTTCCTTCGCTGTACATTGCAAATAGTAATGATGATTCGTTTTACATATCCCGTCTTGTAATGCGTTCTCTGGATGTGAGTAACAAGATTGTTATTATTGCTTGATTAGAGAGGCCGCACCAATTTGTCTGTATCATGTGATTTGTACAGCGGTTGGTACGAATGTAAGACAGCAACTGAGATATGATAAGTGAACATTTCGCATACCTAACGCATCTCTCGAAATATAAAAAAAAAAGGATACATTTCTGATGTTCCGTATACTGAGTACCTCAGTCGATTAATTCGGATTGACAATTGAAAAACTTTGTCACGCCTCGTCGCGTCTACAGGTGTGACAAACGATCGTTGCACCGATCACAGCGCAAAAATGAGTAAGGCTTTTAAAACTTTTTTTTATAGATATTCCTATACGAAGGGGTCCGCAACCTTTGGAAAAGAAGTCGTTCTATTTGGATATAAAGAACCATGTCATCGCGGCCAAGCTAGAGGCACAGATCAGGGAGTTGGGTGGTGTGAGTTACATTTCATCTCCTGCTTGTGCGATGCTGCGTTAGAGTAGCCCGCAGCCCGTAACCCGCGTTTCCCGCTTCGTTTCTCGCCGCTTATCGATTTGTCAGAGCGTTTTGGTGTATTTCGGGCGAGTGTGCGAGCCCCTCTCTCACTTTCTCTACCTGCCTCTTTCTCTGTTCTCCCCTCTTTCTCTCCCTCTCGCCCGCTCTTGTCTCCCCTCTCTCCCTCCCCCCCGTTCTTCTCTTCCCGCCATTTTCGATCACTATGCCTACGGCCGCTTCGACGTAACGCCCGCTCGCTCCCCTACCGAGACCGCGCACACACATACACATACATGTATCCACATGCACACGTGCACGCGCGCGCGCGCGAAAAGGGAAAAAAATTCGAATCTCCGTCTCTCGCGACCGATGCGCTCTCCGACCATTCAAGCCGACCTCGTTGCTACGCGATATTACTGAGTACGCGCGCGATTATCGAACTGTCGGAGAACACAGCAAACTCGGTCCCGAAAAGTTCCGCGCGCGGACTTTACCGGGTCATTCGCTAACGACCGCTAACGAATTTCATCAGCGTGACTTTTCCGAGTTAATTTTTCAATGCATTAAATTTATCTTTTGTTTTCTAATAGAAAATTATTAGGATCACGCGTTCACGAGCATTTTTGACAATTTCAAAGAAAGTTGTTTTATTTTTCTATTCTACGTTTGCAATATTAGAAATTATATCAGATTTTATATGTATCATTAAAAAAAGAATATTCACAATATCAAAGGAAATTGCCAAGAGACAACTGTTTTATTTTAGCTTCGAGAGATAATCACGATTATCGCGTTTTATTTTTGCTTCTATTTTGTAACTAGGTCGCGACAATACGTAACGGCAACCTCCGATAGAAAAAGATACGTTCGCTCGCCAAAGGCGAGTCCTCGGTTTAATACATTTGATTAATCTCTCGCAATCCTGACGCGATGCTCCAGTTTATGCATTTTTAACACGTACTATTATACAACATTGTTTACATACATACTCTTCCCAATTGAATTTTTAAATACGATACGATGGAATCGTTTTCTATAAACATTAGCCTACTCGCGCTGCACTCATGTGATCCGCGCGAGTCGCGCGAACCAGTGAAGTTGTCACCAACCGCGTTTCACGCGTACCCTTCCTCCGCTCTTCCTCCGTTTTTTTTTTAATCTTTCTCCGCGGGCGATATTCGTCTTACTCGGAACGTGAGTGAGCGGCTGGAGAAAAAGAGATGGACGATCCACAGCGCTCGCCGCGCGGGGCTGACCCTCGCGAACGTGACCGAGCGTTGCGCGAGGAAGCGGGTTTCCGTGTGTCCGCGCCCGGCCGTGTCTTCTCGCGCGAGGCCACATCGTTGCCGCGCCGTGCCGTGCCGCACGCGCGCGGGGGCTACGCCCTAAATTCAAGCCGGTCTCGGCAACGTTCGCGCCACTTTAACGACGACGCGACATTAGCCGCCGCCGCCGCACACGATCTCACCATCTCGGGAAACGCGCGCGTCTCGACGGACACGATCCCAGTCGAACGATTTTTATGTTGACAAACAATTCCCGCGGCGAATCTCGCCGTCTCGCGCCATCTTCAGAGCGATGCGCGAAACTCGCGAAACTTTGAAAAGGGGTACAAGAGGAGGGGCAGATGGAAAGAAAAAAAAGGAAATAAACGGGAAGCGCGATTGCGAGGTGAAAAAATTCACGCATCATACCGAACGTTCGCGCGCGCGAAGGGTAGATAAGTATACGTTCCTCTATGCGGGCTGGTTGTTTTGCAGCGTGTAATATCCGTGAAGAATCGAGAATTTCTTTAGAATTATAGTTAAGAAAAATTCGAAATCGAAGAGGTTAATGTTATTGGAATGAAATAAATTTCGTGATGAATGTAACACGCTCTAGAGACGTAAATGAATTTTGTGTAAAGATACTGGAATATTTTTAATCAATTCGATAATATATTTCACTCGAAAATAATATCCCGATAGTTATGCAGATACAATGACATTTTACATGGCTTCAGACCGTTTTTACGGCCGTAATTTGCAACGGTTTAACGGGACGAACGAGCCAATTCCTCAACGAACGCGGAACGGAAGGGCACAAGTACAAAGTCGCCTCGCAACGGCCTATTAATAGAGCAGCTGTCAAATCGCGCGGTCGACGTTGCGAATCGTTGCAGATCCGTCGTTGTCTGTTGACAAACAAATCGCGATAAACCGGCGCGCGTCGCGCCACCTGAGCGACCGCGCGTGGAATCGTTTTCTGCGCGTCGCCGCATATCTGCTGTCGCGCGCGCGCGTGTGTGGTGTGTGTGTGTGTGTGTGTGTACGCGAAAATTTCGAAAAGCGGAGCGGGTGGAAGGACGAGAGGGGAAGGGCGGAGAGCACGCGGCGGAAGGATGGCGGCGTCGCGCGCGACGCGCCCGACAATGCGAACGGACGGGAGTCGCGCGCGTGTCCTCGCCGTCGACGTCGGGCGCGAGAGGAGCGGACGCGCGCGCCGTCTCCAGGCCCCCGTGCCAAGCTGCTAACGGCGAATAGCCATTTTGTGCGTGACAGTTGTCCACCACGGGCCAGAGCAGTCGCAGCAGCGCGAGCACGAGTCGAGTGGCGTCGCGTCTCGTGGGCTCTCTCCGCCCGGTCGCTCTCCCGTCCGTCCTCCCGTTCGCTCGAGTGTCGCGCGTCGTCAGCACGACGTGGTCCAATGTTCCCAATGTGCCTGGCATAGATCCGCGCGTCCTCGTCGCGCCGCGATAATCGGCGAGCCGAAGCGGAGCGGAGCAGTGGACGGTTAGTCGCGCGTCGCTGGCGATTGACAGCGTGCTCGTAACTCTCGGGGACGCGTCCTCGCCCGACTTGGTCGCGTCGAATGCGCCGTCGTCGCCGTCGGGATCGTCACCATTCACGCCGGGACACGCTCCACGTGTCTCCCCGCGTCTACCTCCCGGTGCCTTGGACAAGGGACAGCTGGCGGACAGCGACGCGTCGCGTCATATTATTAGAACAACGCTATGCGACCGGCGGTGGGCGGCGGGCGGCGGCGTCCGCTACGTGAAGACCAGTCGCGGCGGCACGCGTCCGTCTTCCCGTTCCCGGCCGAGTCGCGTTCCTCTGTGTAACGGTCGGCCCCCGTCGTCGCCACCGCTGCCGCCACTGCCACCGTCACTGCCGTCGCGATCGCTCGAGGAAAGCCGTGAAATCACTTGACGTCAGCGTAACACGATGTGACCGTGCGTCCTGCCAGGCATCGGGTCCCCGTTCGCGCATCGCACTTGCACACGTATGTGCCGCACGTGTGTGTGTGCACCGTGCTCGCGCGACGACGTTTTGCTCGTTGCGCAAACGATAAACTTCCTCGAAAGTCGGACTGTCTCTGTCGCTCGCTCGATCGCTCGCACGTACGCTCGCGAGACGCGACAGATCGCTAACGTTTCCTTTGTCCGTATTTGGAAAGGCTCGAGAAACCTAGAAAGGGGCCCCTGGAATTTCGCCTGGAAAAAGTGCGATCTGATGTGTTAGTTGATTACTTGGATGTGTATCGTATACTTGTATGTGCTTACCTGTCCCCTTTTTTGCTAACTTCGCATCTTTCCCCTGCACTTTGCTCGACCTTTTTTTTTCAAAACTTGAATGTCATTTGTTTTTAGGCGATCGAATTGTTTCTAGTACGTGGTGTGACTCTTGTAGCCAGCGATAGAGTAGATAAGGCAGGTCAGACAAACTTCGAGAAACATAGATGGGCTTGCGTCAGTGGTGGCAGCGGAGGACCCCGCTCACTGAGAAGCATCGAAATCCCAACTCCCACACCTCCGACACCGTTACTAAGCTCTGAATGCCCCTCGTCCAACTCTACTCTGCGGGGTCAAACTACCCAAAGATCTGTAAGTACGAAAGACAAAAGTAGATTAGTTACGTCAAGCTTTCTATGTATCGTGTAAAAATATGTATTCAATGTTGTTAATATTGCAATAAAGAAGTCAGTATTGTTACTTTATTACTGTGCATTCTCTCGATGCTGCTTTATCTTTTGTAAATGTTACATAGCGTTTCTCGTTATGATATAAGTAGATTTACAAGTCGGTAGTGCAATGGCACAATAATTACGAAGTTGTTTTTTTTTTTTAACTCGACAGAAATCGCGGGTGGATGCAATGTTGGAACGTGCTCTGACGCAGCCACAACAGTGTTCCGTGGATCCACTAAACAACGCCCACAATTGGGGAATTCCTATTTGGACAACGGATAAGCTTCAAGCTTGGCTTGATAAAATCTATGAGTCTGTCAAGGATACTTCTAACTTGAAGCAAATTAATCAGCATAGCTCGACGAGAGTTAAGCATTTGAAAAAACCATACGTCAAATTCGACTCTATTTACAAGTAATGTACCAGTGATACTATGCGCCATTCTAATCTTTCGCGTATACATTTATTTTTCCATTTATAGAATTACCTCGCATATTACATTTCTATTTATAGAGCTACCAGACCTGTGTTCCTGGAATTATCGTCGTGGCCCACGTTAAACTTCGACGGTGATCCTGGTTCGTGTCCTTTCGACGCAAAGAAGCAAGAAAACAAATTAACGAACAAAGAGGTCAAGGAGAATAAAAGGGATATTGAATCTATAAATAAGGCGGAGGTGCATTATTCGCTATTATATAAAACATAACATGTTGATAAACAATAATTAAATTATTTTATTAAATTCGTACGTAACGAAGGTATGAGCAATTTTTCTTTTTGTATGGACAGGGTAAAGAAATGACTCGGAGACCCCGTGCCACCGCTGGACGTACCCGCAGAACGGAACAGCTGGTCGCTGGCTATTGCGAACTTTGTCGTACTCATTATAACGATTTGTCGAAGCATGTGCAAAGCGAGCAGCATCTGAACTTCGTGGGGAACGATGACAATTTTTTGTCGTTGGACACATTAATCAACGCGGGCGCCAACGTGGAAGCGTTCTTAAAATTAAACCGAACAAAAGATATCGAGTAAGCATTCGCACGTAAAGTCTTATGTAATTCACGTTTTTAATTTAATTTTGTCAATTTAATAATTATCGAACATAGAAATTACTCATGTTTGCGTTTATGATATCTGTGTGTAAACAGTTATCGTTTACATTTCGCGCAGTCACCAATGATTTATTTCTGTCTGTTACTTCATAGGAAAGACTGCGACTTATTCCCCAATGAAGATGGCAATCTTCATAACGTACTGCCCGAGGAGAAAGTTAACAAGAACACCAAGACCTTAAGTAACTTCGCTGATGAGATAAAAATGGTGAATGGTGCGCGCAGGAACCTTAATTTAAAGTTAAACTCGCCGCATAATCTGCGCGCTCGCACGAAACACGAGAGCGGACACCTTCTCAGGTCTAAGGGCAGCCCGTGGCACGAGGTCGACAAGAGTGAGAAATTGTACGACAAATTGGAAGGTTTTACGATCAAGAAGCGCTCAAAGGGTACTATCTGGATCGAGGAAGATGACCCGGACGAGAAGTACACGGAGGATATCCTAAAAGAACCCAAGCAGGAAGACTACAAAATCAGACCGTTCTCGAACAATATCGAGTTTTATAACAGTAAGGAAGATAATATCAATAATAAACACAGTAATCTGGATCCACCAAAATTGCAATCGGTGATCGTACATAGAAATTCACAAAACGGTATTATAAATTCGCGACACATATCGGAGGATCCAGATTATCTCAATAATAAAAATGAATGTAATGGTGATGAAAATGCAAGTGTTTTAGAGCGTACGATAAAAGAGGTCGATGTAGTCGATAATAGTTACGTTGTTGGAAGTTGTAAAGACGATCCGTTTCAGAGAGACAATTGTGCGTTTCAAGCGGAAAAGGTGACGATGGATGCGAGAAAATTCTCGTTGAGTGATACGAACGAGATTGTTTGCAACGGGCATAACGACAAGAGTGAACAGAGGGACTTGAAAGCGTCGCAGGGAGAGAATACTCGGCAAGTGAAGCTCAAGTATCCGCGAGTGAATCGGAGGGGCGGTCGAAATATCAGGGGTCGATATCGACATCGATTGTCGGTGGAGGAACGTTTGATCGAGGACAATCGTGCCTATTACAAAGTGGAAGTGTTGGGTAACAAGTTGCGATCAAGCGCGGTGCCAAGTGGCAATTCGCAACATGTGACGTCGAAAGATGGCGAGGGTGAAGAGAAGAAGGAGGCGCCGTCCAACGAGAAGCCGGTGGTAGTGCGATTTAAACGCGTGAGGAAGTCGGAATTGTCATTGCTGAGCGACGAAGCGGAATCGTTCATGTTCGGCGAGCCAAAACGGGACGACTCCAGCGAGCGAACCAGTGACGGCGAGCAGAGTAGCGTGCTGCCAAGAGACACGGACAGCGAGGCCAATGAAACTGTCAATTCATCCATGTCGCTGAATTCATCGTTAAACTCCAGTCCTGTTAAGCAGGAGATTGTCGAAGAGGACTCGCAGGATTCCATGCATCTGGGCAGAGCAAGGAAGAGAAGACGCACACAGGCCGAGGCGTTCATCAAGGACAATACCGATTACTACAAATTCGAGACGCCTGGCAGCAGACTAAGGTACCAGGCTCCGTTAACCGGTATCAAGGACACTGCCGTGGATGATAGTAGGGAACACGGAACGACGAGGAAATCGACGCATAAACCAGAAGACAGCAGGCTGCAGGCCGACGGTGTTGTCGAGAAGATTTATCCGTCCAAGCCGTCGGCAGAGATCGAGAAGATGCAGTTCTCCTTCGAGTCGGTACCTTTGTCCGAGCCGTGGTATCAAACGTATCAGCGTCAAGACACGGGCGCCGAGTTTTGGCATTGCTTCAGCGAATGTGACGCGATGAAGCCATTTCTCCTGCCGTACGAGATCGAGAACTTTCACGAGACGCTGTTGAAGGCACAGAATAGAATCGAGAGCGGTAGAAGGAGGGGCCGCGGTCGCGGCGCAGGATGCGTGGGACGCTCGCCGAGGAAGAGTCCGCGTTGTCATGCATCTACATTGGCCATTATGTCCACCATAATCCGTAAGAGGGAACAGCAGTCGAATCTACCTACGATAGAAGAGTCACCGCCCGTCAGAACGCGCATCATCACACCCAAGCTCGAACAAAAGCCAGAGGTCAAATTGGATGTGGACGAGGAGATAAAAGAGATCGCGAGAACGATTGACGAGATGTTGAGCGCGAAAGGTATGACCGAGTTGGACGACTCGTTTGAGCCCGATTTGGACGTGGCGCAGACCGATGGTCTTTGTGAAACGAACTTACCGAAAGGTGCGCCGTCGAATTTACTCGAGTTGCTCGATAATTGTCAGGACATTACCAACTGCCTGGAAAATAATTCGTCGTGCGCTAGCTCGGAATGTGGTGAGACAAACACGGACATTCCGTTGAAACGACGGAAACGAAGAAAAAATCGGACCGGTTGGCCGGTTGGTAACAAGATGAAAAAGAAAATACAAGCGAATAGCAAGATGATCTTGACGGATTGCGATCGGGAATCGTTGGCGGAAAAGAGGCGCTATCCTGACGGCGGTTTTGCCGGACGTCACACGTCCAACAACAGATTGTCAGAGGTGGCCGATTCTCACGCGGTAACAACGTCAACGAAGATCGCGTTGCCGATGGTTGCGGAACGACTAGGTGTCAGTCAGAAAAGGGACGACGGTGCTTCGTTGGAAACCACGCCTCATAAATCGTATCACGAGAAGAGAGACAAAAACGTAGAGGCTGTCAGCAGTGACAACACGGGCCTATTAGCGAGCATGGGCAACTACATGGAGTCGGAAAATGCGTGCGACGACGGGACGAATAAGACTCATTTGTCGAGCAAAGATTATCCATGTAGAAAAAATCTGCCGGAGATTGAGGAGATCTCGGAAAACGATTCGGGCAACGACGAGAATCACGAGAACCAGAAGAATCTGCTTGGCAGAAAAGATGTCAATACGATCGCCGAGAACCTGGTCGCAAAGTCGTCGTCCATCAGAAAGCAACGACAGCGCGAGCATGTCACCGTCACCAGCGCCGACAGCTGCGAGTCGCGTGACACCGAGATCGAGAATCAGGACAATCTGCAGTTGCAGTGTAGAAAGGAGGAGACCGGTATAGTTCCTAAGAAACACCACAATTCCAGCGCCGAGTTGTCGCCAAAGCGGCAACTGCGCGGCGGCAACTGCGAGGAGAACTCGTCCGACACGGGGGAATTGTTGAAACATCGCCGCCACGGCATCGTGTTCGCCACGACGAGGCGCGGTCGGATGGGCTCGCGGAAGCGGATCTACTCCAGAAAGCGTCAGTCGAGAACGACCGTCACCCGCAACAACAATGCCAATCTCTCGTCGTCTGATCGCGTCGGGATGATGTACGAGGACGAAAATTGTAAAAAGGATGCCTACTTGAGTATTACGTCGTGCAACAAGAAACAGCCGCCAGGCTCCGTAGGGGTGCGCGGCAGCGTGAAGCGCAAAAGCGAAGCCATTTCGTCGTCGGACAACATCCAGGAATCCGACCCGACGTTGGATCAATGCGCATTGTCGGAGCGCGTCAGCCCGTCGATGTTGTCGTCCACTGAGCTCGAGCAGCGTCGTTCGAGCATCGAGTTTCAGCCGGTCGTACGAATGATGAAGCTCGACGACCAGGTGGACATGGATCACAGTATACTGTCGACGGTGACGGTGGCGAGCAATCGACGGTTGAGAAGTTCTGGCGGCTCGCCGCGATCGAACCCCAAGCCACCGAGGAAGCGTGTCAAGTCTGGACGCGGGCACTTTGGACGGTGGTTGAAGAACAGCTGAAGATCTGAGGAACGAAGACGAAGACGGAAGAGGCTGTACTTCGGCTTAGATTTCAACGATGGTGGTCCGTTATCGATCTCGCAATCCGATATCTCGTCCCACCACAGTGTACATTGTGTATAAAAATATTATTTGTGTACGTAGAATAGTATTTAACATTGCATCATAGTATTATATATATATATACATATATATTTATGTATATATATATATATACCTCTATCTCTCTCTCTCTCTTTAGTGATATTCTACTTAGTAACGTTCTTTCAGGTGGTTAGTTTTAACACTCCCCACCCGGTATATCCCACTGTGTACATTCTTTAGATGCGGTCGTTGTGTTCTCAGAGCTGAATAGTTACATCTTTTTTACTAGCACCATGTCGTTCCTTATTTTCTATATTTCTTTTTTTTCCCCCTCTTTTTTGTCGTTTCATGTAAACGAAAATTGTATTACTTTGATGACAGTCGTTTCAGATCAATGATTAAGGATTATTTCTATTTAGAGTATATTACATTTTAGAGTACGCAAGACTGCATACAGCTTTATAACATTGTAATCACATACATACCACACACATACATATGCGCGCGCGTGCGCATACACACACCACACACACATACACACATATCCATTTCTGTTATATTGTGTATATTATTCAAGGTAATATTCTATATTTTCGATTCTCCAGTATATCCAAATACGTTATTTCAAACAGAATTGCTGTAAGTCGCTCATGAGTTCACAGAAAGAGAAATTACTATTAAAGATATGCAAATTTTCCATTAAAACTCATTTCATTGGTACTTATTCATGATTCCATGATCTTCCTTAGATTAGATTTGTGCCAACAGGTTCAACTGATCTAATTTCAGGTTCAATGTTCTTTGTCTTAATTATAATTTAAGAGACTAATCAAATCAACTAATAAATTATACAGCGCAATTAGCTACCTATAGTTCTAAAATAAAATGGAACATCTGTATTGCTGAAAACAGAGATCAAATAACTAGTAAATTAATTGACTTAATAAATTTATAGATTTAATATATTTAATTATAGTACAGTTAGCATTTGTAAACTTCTGGCCTTCTTCAATGCCTTTTAAATTAAGAAACTAACAAATCTTCTCTGTATAAATTTTATTTATTCCTAAAACTAAAATCACTTTACATCCTAGAGGAAATTTATAATATATATGAAACAAGTTGCGTCACGTCAAGCCTTCGCGTTCGCGAAACGCTTTCTTCATTTCGTTTAGCTTCTTTCTCTTGCAGTCTTTTCGCGTCTGCTGTTTTTCCTCGAGGACGCGTATCTGGCCCTCGATAGAACGTTCCTTGTTCAGCAAGTTATCGAGCTTTGTCACCAGGAGTTCGCGCGCACGTTGCCTGTTGTCCCACTGGCTCCTCGTCTCGTGGCACTTGACGACGAGCCCTGTGGGCTTGTGCTTCAACTGGACCGCATTGTTCGTCTTGTTCGTCGCCTGGCCGCCCGGACCACTGCCTCGCATGAACTGCTCCTCAAGATCGACCTCGTTCAGCTTAGGAACGTTCGAATAATCGAGATAACGCTTAAAAGATTTATTACGGACTTGTACGCTTTCGCAATTAATCACGACACCTGACAAAAGAAATTTGTTGCAGTTGACCAGCGAAAAAATGCTACTGTGAATTTTTGAACATGTCAACATGGATCTCGTCAACATGGTTCCTCTTTTTTCATAGAATGTCTCCTGCCGTAGTAAAATATGACTTATACCACTTTCCTAGCTTCCAAGAATTTCATACCCTTCTGTGAATGGAGAAAAAGATTTGTTAGCTCTGGATTATTAACAGAAAGATTTTTACTACATAACGTCATAAAAATTTAAACGTGTTGTAAATTAAAATTTAAATATTGGAAAAGAAATTGAATATTTTATATAGAGAAATTTTTTCTAGAGAAAAAAGTTTCAACATTTATAAAATTATATGCAATGTATAAGAGTACAGGATTGATTTTTTCCTGTTACATTCACGTACAATTCTTGCTTTTACATTGTATGTGTGTATATATGTATAGTAAAAATATGTCTTTAATTGCAAATAAGGTAAGCATTTATTTTCCGAATAAAATCACGAGTTACGGGTGAATGTAACAGGAAAAAAAAATCAATCCTGTACTCTCATACAATTTCATAAATGTCGAAACTTTTTTCTCTAAATTAATATATAGTGCTTTATACTTCAGGATTATTTAACACAGTATTCTTTGAAGTAAATATTACAACAGTGGTTTATAGGTTAGAAACATAGAGAGGTTATACGATAGGATATGTATACGTTGCTCGCGTCTCGACATGCATAAAATACCTTAGCAGTGTAATTTATACCTTCAATTGGAAGTCTATCGCCGTCTCGTCGGACAGATCTTTATTAGTCTTGAAAGCTATCCGGATTCTGTATCGGAAATACTTTTTGTTCGTGAACCTCAAAGTCTCGCCATACTTCAGAATGCCCTTGTAAAGTTTCAGAACAGCTTGTCGGCTCATCGCGACTTATCGAAATTATCTGAATCGCCTGAATGTGTACGAAATGTAATCACGTTTTGGATCGAGGTACACCGCATGTGACACTATTATAAAAATATATCACTATCTTCACGCTGCTTCACGCCACAGCTGCACGTGGCTGCACAATAATTGAGTGCGAGAACATGCGCGGCGACATGGCCGGCATTTCTTTTTGTAATAGATCAGCTGACGAATACATTACACACTTGTTACATGTGCAAACAAGATATTCAAGTTTGTTAACTTTATTTTAAGGACAACTTATCTAATTATCATTAAAAGGTCGCTCTTTTTCATGAAGGATCATGTTAACTTGCGAAGCATCATTATTTTGCATAATTGCTTAATACTCGATTTAATAGATAATTACCTGTTATATTGAAATTCCAAAAGTAAATTTTATATACACTGAATCTATTGAAAATATATTCTGTAAGTGTATACTATAAGTTTTGACAGCAGAAATATAATGGAATCCATTAACAGAACGTGATGTGGCGATAGATTGACTGCAATAAATTTTGACAGCAGAAATATAATGGAATCTATTAACAGAATGTGACGTTAGATTGACTGCAACAGCCGAGTAAAATTTACTATTTCATAACCATTTAATTATTCTTTACTCATTTTTTTAATAATAATAACAGCAAAAGAGAAACTCCTCATCCAAAAATCCACCTGCAATACTCTGACATAGTTTATTGCGTCTTCTATTATAATCATTTAAACGATTATAAAATGACATTGATTTTTACTATCAATCTGCATGACTATCAGATCTGCTGGTATATGATGAACTTAATGCGAATGCAATTGATGCCAATCACTACCATAATATTATATTCAAATTTGCAAACAAATTGTTAGAGTTGATAGCCAAATCTAAATCAAAAACAAATCTTATAAAGTGCTACAAATTTTATCAGCAAAGTGTTAATTAAAAAATAAAACAAAAAGCGCTAATAAAATACAATAGTAGATTAATTACAAAAACCAAATAAAATCTATCATATTTTATGATTATTTAAATAATATATTTCATTTAAATGATTATAAAATGATGGATTTAATTTTTTTCTTCCAATCTGCTGTCAAATTATGTTGATATAATCTTTTGGCCAAATATTCATATTTAATATAGATAATGCTACACAATCTGCTACAATATTCTACTTGAATCTCGAAAAAGATCAGCCTACCGTTAATGTTTTGCTCACTGCAAATCAAGCAGATATATTTCTTGTATTTTTTTTAACTTTAATATAGATATGTTCATATTTAAATGCATCAAAAAATATGTATCTACTCTTTTCTATTCTCATTCAGTGAAAGAAAAAAATGAGAAAATTTCAAAAAATCACAATATTATATTTCCAAAATTAGCAATTTACGGTATAAAATCTCTCAAATTTACGTAAAGTTTCTTATACGATTTCTTTTTGTGCGATTCTCAGGTTTAACAAAGGAGCATCATCAATTAACGCTAGAATTCTTGGAATTCTAACTCGAAAAGCTTCTGTATGACATCATCTATTTGCAGTTCCTTTGAGATTTCTGTTATCAATTCGTCTACGAGCTTATCAGATATCCTGCAAAGAATATCATACGTTATGAACGCATTTAAGTTATCGAAATAAAGGCAGTATCATATTTACCAAGCGACAATGTCCCATGGTTTATTTTGCGTATTGCTAGAATACATTGGAATCGATTGCATCAATCGCTGATATTCACGCCTATATTTCAAAAAACTCATCTCAGTTTCCTCGCAAACCACAAGTTCGATATTATTCATCGAGTCGATCATAAGTTTTCCTTCTTTTACCTATTGTATCCATATAATGTTAAACAACATACAATTTTACATTTGATTCTGAGAATATCTTTTTTATTGTTCGTTTATAATTTACCTTTGCCTCAAAATCCGGCAGTTCCACTAAGCTCTCGCAATCCGCTTGGCACGACGCGTCACAATAGCGAGGTACTTTTGATGCATTTTCTACCGATGACACGCAAATCAGTTGCATGTTCTCACCGTTTTTCCGCATTTCGGTCAAAGTTCTTTAAAAAAAAAACAAAATATTAAATTAAATCTCATTTCTTTAGCTATCATACGTAAAAAAATAAGGAAAAGTATACACATTTATAAAATATAACGTGGACACATTCATACCTATTTGTTTTAAGACATTCACATTCACTGCTGCCTGAATAACATACGTCGCAGCTTGTACTCGCGTTGATTTTCGCATTTTTGCTTTTAGGCAATTGATATTTTTCTAGGAATTTCATTAGTGTTTTCGTCATACTTTCAGAATAAGCTGGCCTTGCCTCTGATTCGTTTTGCTACATGTAAATTTGCAATGCTGACGATAGATTCGAATTACCAAGATAATTGAATGATCTTATTTAAAAAAATATATCGTTTAGAAGAGATAATTTATAGGCAGCATCGCTGCAGTTCACCTTATTAGAAACGAAAGACATTAGATCTGCTATAACTGGCACCAAATTAGATAAATGATCCTCTGTAATCATCGTCTCTTTTCTCGTCAATTCGTCATCGTTATTTGTGGACGTGTTCTTAACAATATTTTCTATAGTTTCTGACTGCTTTTGATTCTGCGACTTGCCAGAACATTTTCTCGGCGCTTTACATATTCTCCTCGTGAGCATCGCATTTTTATGCCTTTCCTCCGTTTCAAAGTTGCTGCCCTGCAAAATGGACAAAGTACTTCAACTTTAACGTTACAACAAATCTACCTCGTATTGTTGTAAGTAGTAAATTCTTTACATCTGAATCTAAAGGTAATATATCCATCATAGTCTTTATATCTTCCTCTTTTGCAAACGTTCTCTGTTTTCTAGCGCCAATCTGATTTGTATCTTTAGGTGTTACAGGACTAGGATATGGCTGATCCGATATTGGCTCACTACAGATTCTTTTAACGTCTATTGCATTATACTTTTTATCTTTTTGATTATAATCTAAAAAATAATACATATAGGATTAAAATAATAATATATTTAATACTATACTTAATACTATACAAATAATTTCATATATGAAGTTAATATGTAAAGTGATTTTCCATACTTGTCTTGGGTTTAGAAATATTTTTGACCTTGGTATCCATGCTGTACATACTCAACCGATTAGATAACTGTTTGCGATTTGGTCGCTTTTTATTTGTTAAATGTGGAGTGAAGGACGCCATGGATGGAGTTTTATTAGTATCAAGGAAATCGTTATCTGCATGGAGTTTCAATTTTGATAAAACAGCATTGCATTTGCTTTCAATCTCCTTCCCCTGCAATGAAAGAGAGAACTTCAAAGCGAATTCAAATATAATACTTCTTGCGTTTTTTTGAAGTGTAAAAAAAATGCAATATTGCAGTCAATTATCAGTTATCATAAATATGTATTAATAAATAATAATTACCAACGACAAAACATCAGTGTCTCCCGAATCAAAATAGTTTAAGTGGAGCCTGTCGCACATAGTCTTCAGATCGAGAACCACTTGCAGTATCTCTCTGAGTTTCCCAGGGTGTCCCTTGGGAACAGAGCTTGGAACGTGCTTGCAATAGGCGACCAATGCGTGCAGCAACAACTGATGAGCAGCAAGGAGTTTGTGCTCGATGGCGTGCATGTGAAGTCCCAGGTTTCTGTGATTCGGCCTTATTATCGCTCGCGGCGAAATGACGCACATATGCCTTCGAATATCCCTGACATATCTATTAAGATCGTACAGGTAGTTCCTCGAGAATCGCACAGTGAATTCGGCAACGCACTGCTGCCGCCTCTGCAGCTCCTTAATCCCGTCCGGCGCCGCGATGTTTCCTAATCTTAACACGATCTCGTCCAGCAGATCGCAAACCTTCCTCTGCATCGTGAAGATTTTGTGCATGGTAAACGGATCCGGCCGTATGTAAATGACCCCGTCCGCGATGCCGTCGCGGTGCGTGCTGCTCTCAGGACTGGAATTATACTCGGCGCCGTTAGTCGCGCGATGCAGCTGCCTCGAGGATTGCTTTTTTCGCGGTATCGCATGACCGGAGCGAGACTTTCTCGCGTACGACTTGAAATCCTCGGGCTCGTGCCTCCTCTCGTAAGCTGGAGCGTTATCTTCCTCGGGAATCGTGAGCAGCAAATTGGTGCTCCCTGTGTCTTTCGTAATCGGTACTTTCTTCGAAGCCGAATCCCTGACATTATTTACCTATTATTATGTGAGCTTTAGCGATCTAATAAATCAATCTCCTCGGAGTATTATTTTCATGGAATATTCACCTACCTTTGGCTTTCTCTTCTGATTTCCAGTTTTGCCACACTCTTTCCTTATCTCATCAGGCAAAATATCTGTTTCTAATTTTTTCAGTTCTTTATCCGCCTCCCTCATACCCTCATCCAACAGCTGTTTGATACTCTGAACAGACGGCTGAATGCCATTTTTGTCATAACCATTCAGCTCCTGTTGTCTGACGAAAGATGCCCACACGCTCTCCTCTTCCTCTCGACATCTCTGTCTGCGTACATCCTTTATTATGTACTTGAAACGATTTGTAGGCACGTACTTTAACAGAGAACAACAAGATAAGTCTTGTCTCGTTTACCAGTGGTAAAATGCATGAAATGGATCCGCCAAATAGTCAAATCTGTTGAAAACAGATCTTGTCTCTGTTACAAATTTTGTTAGCAAAATGTCAATAGAAATATAATAAAAAATGTTAATAGAATATGATGGCAAATTAACTGCAGACACAATCTACAAACAGAATCTGTCATTCTATAATAATTTATAATACACAAAATTGATTCTGTCATTTCTACTGTCAGATTACATTGGCAGACTCTACTAACAGAACACGAGCTTAATTAATGCGAACGCAGTCGATATGTCAATCTGTCGCAGTTTTTTACTCGAATCTGTGAAGTTTTACCCACACAAACTGTTAGTTTTCACCACTAACATTTTGTTTACTGGGAAGAACATAAATGCGGAGCGGTCGTTACGTGTTACATCCCGAGATTCCGCCAGAATCTACCTTAAAGTTATAATCATCGTTTTCATTTCCAGGAAGGAACGGATCCTCCGTCTCGTCGTCGTTGAGGTGGGCGGGCTCCGCGGGGCTCAAGAGAAGCGACATCCTAGCTGTCCGTTGGTTATGTCCGGTACTCCGGGCCACCGAGGGGGTGCGTTCATTCGCGTCCCCTCGGACGTGCCATAAACGACGGATATCAAAGGGGGGAAGTACGATCTTAAAAAACGGGACGCCGTGGCACGACTCCTTGCATGGGAATGCGGGTTCCTCGTCCGGTTTGTACGTACAGGCTGAAATTGGCGCGACACGAAAAATCGATATATTGTCAGTTTCTCGTAGGCGGTGGAAGGGGGAGGAGGCGCGGCGGTGGATACAAGGTCGTTCCAATGATAATTACTCGATCGATGACCTGCGATGAAACTTAAATGGAAATCCTTAAATGGAAATCGCCGAATTGCTGTATATCAATCGAGCTTCGTCATCGGAACGAAACGTTTTTCGTTATTCTGGCAATCCTGACGAAATTTTTCTCAATCTCTCAAGAGAGAGGAAAAAAATGGTGATTCAAATTCTCCGAATGAGTTTCAAATCGAAATCTCGCGGCGAATCCGAGTTTTATATACAATTAAAAGCAGATTTAGCGAAACCATTTAAAAAAGTATATTTTACATTTTCTGCGTCCTCCGCATACGCGGAACGGTGATCGACAGGGCGAAAGGCGCGAGCGTCGGAGCTTGCGACCGTTTTTGTCGCCGCGCGCTCGGAAGCGTGATGCTAGCTGCGTGAGATACGGATCGGAAAAGGCGTGGGCGCGGCCACGCGCCATGGATCAATACTCGTGCGGTGCGGGTTAACCCGTGACGAACGGGGTGTAATCGTCCCAGCGGTGCTCAACGCGCGGCCTCCTCGACGGAAAGAGAGACTTTCCATCCGCTCCGCTCCACGCCGAGCGGCAGATGCGAACATCGCTCGGACTAATTACACACCGCGCTTAATTTAGGCGAGCGCGATTCATCGCGGGCGAGAAACGGTCTTCGCGGCACGCGAGAAGAAGGCGCGACGCGAGGAAACGGCGAAGCACCCCTGCGAGAGGCGGACGACTCGCCGGCCGTGAAAAGCGCGCGGGATTCGAACGGCGAGCGGTGGAATCGCGGCCGGGATCGGTTCACGATCTCTCTCGACGGCGCGAAAACACTTGGCGGAGGGCAAAATTGCGCGTCAGCTGATCGACTTCCTCAGCCATCGCATTCGCCGTCGCATTTGGGAGAACGATCGCCACGACGAAATCGCATCGGGGAACCGTTCGAGTCGCGCGCCCGGGCCGCGCCACGCTCGAACGTCGCTGGTCAATCAACGCGCGCGCGGCGCGGCACGGTGACATCACGCTGCGCGCGCAGGACGTTCTCATTCAACCCTCGGAGATCTCGCTGCGCTCCGCAATTTATCCGCTTCTCGTCCTTCGTACGCTCCCCGCCGCGAGCTCGAGGGTGCTCGGTAAGGTGGCTCGATCGGGCACGAGATTAAATTTTCTCGGATACCTCGATACGCGTTTAACGATAGTAGTCTTTACGCGACGCGCCGATATCCGTCGTTAATTATTGCTTCTCGCGCGAGATCGTTTCTCGGCAACATTTATAGACTTCCCCCCTCGCATGGCGTTGCAAGTTCCGTGAGAAGTGTTTTCAAATCCTGCAATTATCGTTCGTGTCCTCTTCTTAGCGACAGTCGTGTAAAAATTATATACTCTTTTGTGTGAATTTTGCGACGTGTTCGATCCAAAAATAATTTTAAGTCCCCGCACAGTAACGTTCGTCGGTTAATGGCCATTGCGTTTCTTCGTCGCCCGTTACCGTCTACTTGCTTTCACAAGTGCAAAACAAATAATGAGATGGCCGGCTTCTATAGATTTATGTTTTCGAAGAACAGTTTAAATGTGGTGGAATGTGAACACAATTTAACTAACTTCTTCGTGGAAATATTAATTTTGTGGTTTTACCGATATTTATAGATTTTTAGATATATATTGCGGGTGATAATTATGAAATTATCATAATTGTGAAAATATATTTTCCTCCAGGTTGCCTACGCTAACACACTTAAGTAAGCTTCATTTGCGCTAGCAAGCTTTAAGCTGTATGACCGTGTTGATGTGTGATTTGAACGCGTGATATTGGACTGCTGGAAAAAATAGATATTGTGAAAATATATAAACTAGAGTGAAGCACTAGGGTGCTGACAATTTCTAATTGATATTGACTGACAACCTCAGGATGACATCTAAAGTGCTGATGAAACTACCAACAGTACCCTTCCCTCAAGTAAGTATCATATCTTATTAAATGTTAAATTACATATTATTCTTTAACTTGATTAAAATATATATTCGTGCCTTTAATTAATATCTTTTTCAATTGTCAGTTTATCCTAGACACTATAGAAAATATAATTTCTTATAAAATTGTAAAATTTATAGATGAGAATGTTTGAATAAAATTTTCATTTATTTGAATAGAAAAAAAAGGTTCCAAGTTTTATTCAATTGTAAGCTCTTTAATTGTGTTAGCTCCAGTTAGCTTTTTCATTACAAGAGAGAAAGGTTTCAAATTTTAATTATAACAATTGTTCATATAGGGGAAGAAAGCACCGCCCGACCTGGTTTCTTTGACTGAGAGAAACGATGGATTCGCACACGTTAGGCATCAAGGCCTGAACGTAGATAGAGTGATGCAACTGGAGCAGAACATGAAATTTTTACAGGAGCAACATCAGGCAACTCTGGTTGCTTTACATCAGGAGATAGAATGCTTGCGTCAAAGAAATAGAGGTAATGGAGATGATTATATATTGACCTTCCTCGAATGCCTTAATTGCTTCTAATCTGTTTTTTTATACTTTTGCAGATCTGCAATTTCAATTAGTATTTTCCAAAAGAGCACACTATGGTGCGGCTAGTAGTCCTTCTTCGCCCGAAGATAATGGAAATGGGTTTGCGAAATCAAAGGTATCTGAGGCACAATACAATGTTATGAGCATTTGATAATATTTAAATCTGTGCCTTTTGACATCATTTTTTGCTCAAAGAATGATCTTGAGCATCGATATAAAGATTTCAATTTTTACTTGAATTTACAGGGTAGCCCAATAGGTGTCAATGTAACACCTCTGCAAGTGGAACTTCTGGAGAAAGACTTACAAGACATTAAGGTGTCACTACAGGAGGCAAAAACACATAACCAGTACTTGTCAAATATTATAGAACAACAAAAAAAGTCAGTAATTTTATGGGAAAATATATCATATGGACGCCGTGACGATTGGCTAACGTTTCTTTCCCTTTATTCTGCAGAAGGTTGGACGTAACGGAAGACCAGAAGAACAAAATCGAAGTGGCGGACGTAGGAATTCAAGTCGGAGATCCCGTGCAAGCGAGCTTGGTTGTGCTTTTGGAGGAATCGTACGCGATGGTGAAACGATTACACAAGGAGAATGTGGATCAAAAGAAGGAGATAGCCTCGCTGAGAGCGGCCTCTTCGGCAAACAACGCTGGTACCAGCAGAGGCGGACGCTCCCGCGACGGTAATAATGCCCATTACAACCGTGGTTCGCCTACGAGTGCGACGCAGGAACAGAACTCTCGTAAATTTCCACCGTTACCAATACCGAGCTACTGGCATCGTAGATCGCCGAGGTATACAGCTCACAGAATTCTGTCTATAAATTTTTGAATTTACCGCAAAAGATATCCTTGAAAAGTTTAAGCAGTTACGAGACATCTAAAGAATAGGATATATAAAATCTACGTGTAAATTATTACAGATACTGCACGAATCGACACGAGAAGCAAGATCATCAGGCGGACACGGACTCGACCGTTTTACCGCAGCTCCAAAATGGCAGCGTAAAATCGGCGGAAGCGGCCAGTTTCGAATCGCCGTCTTATCGATCGCGCGAGTACCGCAATTACGGCCGCGACGGCAACAATCGCAAGTACAGAGGTCAAGCGTCGCGAAGAGACAGCAATCATTATTACCACTCTCGCGATTACAAAGACAGAAATTCCAAGGATCATCCGAGAGACATGAATGACCCTGGGGAGGGATCGAAAGATGCGGGTAATTCTCGGAGACAGTAGATTGCAAAACACACACGTTGTCGATGCGTGATGTAAGGATCGCGCGATTTGGTGAACTTTAATCCTTTGGAGCGCATTGAGAATTTCGAATACTATTACCAGCTGTAAGACACTTCTCGATAATGAAGTGATCAATGTTTTCTTCACTGGTGCTCTGATCGATCACGACAGTCTCGTGCATATATATGGCATGTAATAGGATAGCGACGACGAATGAGTATAAACTGTACGATTTTCGATAGAACAATCTAGTCTGTATGCTAATTTTACTCATTATAGGCTGCCATAAAGGAATATAGGAACTCGCGCTTTGTAGATTGACGATAATCAGCAGAGTGTTTAGCGGAAGATTTTTTGCTAGGCAAGAAGACTTTTTTCTTCCCACAAAAAAAAAAGAAAACGAGAGAAGACACGACCAAGAGCTCACTATAAGTGCTAGCTTTTCGGCTAATGCTCGTACTTCACAGACTCGAGCTTAATTATGCGTGCAATAATCTGACTACGCTGTGTCGATGCATGTGTGTACGTGTATTAAAACTTCTAATTGGAAGCATTAACAAGTCGCTTCTAAAAGTCGAATCTAGTCATTTTCACGTATTCTATTGAAATGACAAATCGTTGAACGATTTAATATTATATATATATATATTCATATATAGATATATAATACATATACAAATATATATACATATACGTATACATATGTATATATACTTTTTTTTATTAGTTTTATGTATCTATTTTTTATCTAAATCGTTAATGTATTTTGTTATATACAATGCCTCATCGAAGAATTTCATCATTCTGCCATGATATTACTGATTATTGTCTTATAAAATATGCGCGTCTATTGTATTTAATTAATTCTATTCTTTTTCATTGAGTTTGTTTACTTTTTCTTCAACTATTTGCATATTACAGATTACGGACTTGTCTACATAAGTCAAGAATTTTCGTAATTTCTACTTATAACCGATTCCTGATTTTTAAAAATAGCAGAAAATGTATGTAGTGTTATTAAATTTATCATTTTAGGGGGATTTGCAGATGCTCTGCAAAATAACATGGAAAAAAATTTGCCACATTAATCGGATTATAATACAGGAATACACTTTGTAATTACGTAAAATCTTGTACGCTTATGAATGGATAAATTATCAAAATAATATAATATCATAATAATTATGTGTAATCTATTTCTCCAAAAACCAATCTTCTATATTATTCTATATATTCTGTATATTAAATAAATCTTTCTGGTTTATCACAATTTTTCATTCATCATATAGTCATTATTTCAAAATATACTTAATTTTGCGCTACATCTAGATTTATGTACTTATTGTTGATTTATTTTAAGATATAAAATTTCGGTGCTTTAAATATATCGTAATTACGAATTATCTTATCAGGCACTGTTAATTTATCTTTCTTATGTCTCGCACGCGTTACGCGTTAGAAAGTAAAAAGATGTCACTCTTTTCAGAAAAAGTTTATTATAAAAAAATACCTTAGTTAAGTACATATTCAACACTACATACGTGAACAATCTCTGTAACAACTACAGACGCGGCCGAGAATTGCTAATGTAAAGAGAACTATGAACAACTCTACAAGAGTACCCTGCAAACGGAGAAAGGCTCATCAGGGCGGCCCCGCACATGGTTTTAGTAAGTTTTAGTAAAAGTTACGCTCTAATTAAAATTACAAAAAGCGATGTTACCCGCGTACAAAGAAACAACGCTGGACGTCGCACTTGAGCGCTGCAGTATTTACATTTCTACAGCGTACAGGAATTTCAAAGACGGAGCACATTCAGCGCCGTAACGCTAAACATCGAGAAAGATTGTAAAAAGAGTTTACGTTTGCACGTTACAGTATCTGGATGTGCCACCGTCGCATTCCCGTAAGTCTTAAATGTTTACATCACAACCACGAACGTAAAACTACACGAGTGAAAAAAAAAAGAATCGCGACGAAATCGAAGGCAACGCGACTGAACTTAAAACGCATATTGATCGATGATCAGTCCATTAACAAATTACAGGTAGTTTCATCGATAAAAAGAGTAAATGTAATGACTGTATATAGGACTCAATCTTGACTGTATTCTACATGATTACAGGGCCTGTATATACGCGGATGGTTTTATTAAAGGGGGGAAAAAGAGAACTAATCACGACGGTCGAAAACCAATATGCAGGAGAAGCACATAAGACACGTTTAAGATATCTGGAAGTATTAACAAGGGAGAGGAGTGTTCTTCAAGATAAAAATGTTTATGCGCCTCACCCTGTATAGCCGACGTACGTTTTACTATAATCTCCATCTATGTACTTCATTCAACGGTTCATAATTTCGATCAAAATGGCCCCGAAATGTCAGTCTTTCCGTTTGAATTTTGTTAATTTCATTACAAGTAATTGAGCATGTGACTGCTGTCCGACATGACTTATTGAAACTCACTACTTATACGCTACTATTTCGCTAAAATACAATTTACATACGGTAATCCGAGGAAACGTTTCGTTCAATTACGATGCATAGATATCGCATGTAATAACTATTAGGATGATATATTGTACAATTTCGATAAACTACAGCGTAAATATTTTGATAATGCGCTGGAAGCAAAATATTCAAAAAAAACTTGCATAACAAGAGATCATATTTCTGCTATTAATCTAAATTATTTTGTGTAAGTTAAATTGAACAAAACGCTCCGTAATATTCGATGATTAATATCTGTCATTTTCGTAGAAACACATAGTACCGTACACCTTACTTACTCGTACGTTACTTGTTTTATGATAGCCCGTACATATGGAATTAACGTTAAATGCTAGAAACTCGTTAAACTTGTCGTTAACAAGAAATAAATTTTAAAACTGACCTAGGGCATTTGATTATCGAATTGTGAATGGCTAGTATTAATCATTTCTCTCTCACTCACTCACTCACTCTCATTCTCTCACTCTCTGTCATTCATATATTTCACTTCAGTTTCGTATATTTCACTGTAGTTTGTCTACTTATATTTGAATATTCGCACGCGTCAGCTCAGTGTAATGTAAAAAGAAAGAAGAGTAACAAATTGCATAGTTAACAAATAAATAGGAACCAGCCTATGTTACACTTAAGATAACTAATGGACAAAAGTGCAAATGCAGTAATGCAACATCCGAAACGCAGTCCTGAGGAAACATTGACTGAGAGGACATTTTTTTCACTTTTGTTCGTTTTAATTAACAATGAATTGCAAGATGGTGCCTCTATTCAGTTGCGAAGGTTAACAATCGCTACACCATCATTCTCCTCTTCTTACCGTATGCTATTTTCATTACGTTTGCAGTTTCCATCACGAGGGTATCCAGTATAGCTACCGTGAGCCCGTTCTTCACCGCCAATTCGTCGTGATGAAACTTCGTCCATTCGTCCTCCTCGGCTTGAGCCTCCCTCGCCAACAACTCGTCGACCCTGTCTCTGCGTTTCCTGCTCCAACGCATCACCATGTTCTCCCGCTGCAGTTTTGTCTTGAAGCCGAATAGCGTGGCGACCTCCTTGTTAACGTACTCGGTGAGCTCCTCGACGTTCCTCGGGATCTTCATCGTGGGCTTCGTCTTGACGTTCGGCTTCGTCCAACTCGGACCGGGCTTCTCGTATTCCGATCGATAGACCTCCACGATGGTCTCCTTACAGAGATCGAAGAGGAAGGTGTTGTAGATCTGTCTGTCCCTCCTCTCACTCTTGTCTTCGTTCAACTCGTAGATCTCGGGAGGCGCTTCCAAATTCGCGATATCCTCACCAGTCAGTTTGGCGTTGTATATCAAGGCTGTGGCTTTCTCGGTGAACGACGTTAGCTCCTCGACGTTTGACGGGATTACGGCAGTGACCAACGAAGGCGAACCGAGCGCGGCCGATAACCGACCAGGTGGAGTGTAAGGAGGTGGCGGCTTGTTCGGTATCTCTCGAACGTAGTACACTTCTTCCGCTTCCAATTTCTTGATCTTAAAAAAAAAAAAACAGTTACGTACATATTCAGATTGAATATCCATGCTTGCGACGATTGGATTACATATGGAATATATATACATAATAATCGTACCTCCAACTCGATCTGCAATTGTTCGATTCGAAGCAGCTTAGCTTGAAATTCGGCGACCTCCTGCTGACCAGGTTGTTCCAATGAAGCTGTACGGAGTAAGCGAAAAGTATACATATACATATCAATAAATACAACAGGCAGGCAGAGAAACAAATTTCTCGGGAAAAGCAACACGAGCCTTCACATTACATCGGGGGTTCACAATTCATAATACTTGAATTGAGAGTGCTCTAAGGAAAGGGACGGATGAAAAAGATAGGAAAATATATCGAGAAAATATTTCTAATGCATATATGAATATATATATACATATATATATATATACATATATACATATATACGCAATATAAATATGTAATAATACGAAAGCTGTGGCAAGGTTGGACATTCCATATAACATCTGTACACGATAGTAAACCTTTTCTGACAGATTCGGAGGGAAGAGAAAAGTAGATAATAATCGATGAATAATTGTGTGTGATGCATATTTACAGGCCTTTCTTGTGCGCATACGGATCAATAATGAAAGGATCAAGCATTCATGCGACACTGATTTGTACAGAAATAACAAGTCAATGGTCGTATCATTCGTAGTTTCGTGTATTACCTTTAGACAAATATAATCTCGACTTTGCTATTTGTCTGAAAATAAACAACACATGGCTATACCAGGCAACGCTTTTGCACAGAAGAGCACACAGCCATTATAAAAAACAAAAGGTGTTTCTGTAGTATATAATGTGTATTTGATTGAGATGTGTAAATATGTATTGAGTGTCTCTGAGATGGTCAGCCCACATAAAAATTGCATTGCATGATTTTGGTCGAGAATGATAACAGTAATTTGTAAAGAAAAACAAAAAAAAAGATTCACTATCTCTCAACATATACAGGTTGGCTTGCTTTGAAATATGTTATTCGATTCTCACAATTCCCTCGAATAGCATCTTTCACAGAACTTATTGCTTTGCAACGTATTAGATTATCCTGCTAGACCAGACATCCATTCGATAGCGATATCGATTGGGTTACAATATTTATATAACTTTTATAATAACACACATAACGTTTCAAGTTTAAAAGATATGTACAATTGGAACAGATGAATATTGTAGAATAGGAGCGATACTCTGATTCATACATTTAATGTAGAATTCAAATTGATATGTGATAAAATTTATAGTTGATTCTAATGATTCTGTATATTGTCTACTATATTTCTAATTATATATATTACTAGAAATATGTAAATATATATATATATATATATATATTAATGACATAGAATAGCGAGAATACCTTTTAATTCGTGAATCATAGCCTCGATGTCTTTCTCGGATGTGGTGATGGACGCGGAATGGAAATTGGCCTCCATGTCGATGCTCTGGTTCGCTTTAGTGCCGCTCAATAGATCATCGTCCAGAATATCAATGTTCAGCCGCGAATCATTGAAGTCTCTCGGCGAGTCCATCTCAATCTCAGATACACCTCTCGGAGTATCGCCGGCTTCGCTAGATTCAGACGAGCCATTCTGCTCCTGCAGCTGCGAGACTCTCTCGCGCAACTCGTATATTATCTGAGAGGACTTATCGTCCTCGTCCAATCTCAAAGAAACCACCTCTCTCTTCTCGGACAAGCCGTCCGCATCGTTAGCCTTCACCGATTGCCCGTCCTGCAATTTCGCTCTCTCCAAGAATCGACCCTTCGCCTCGTCCACCCCGCAAGATTCTTCCTCGAACTTGCCCGTCGTTCTATTCATCTCGGGGGATGAACTGTCGTCCCCTGCGGAAACTTCTGCGCCCACGATCTCGCTGATCTCTTCCGTTGCACTCAGCGCGCTCTGAGCATTTCTCTCGTTGTTTTGCGAATTGCTTGCAGACTCGAACGACGATTTCTGCGAGATTTCGTCCAGTATTCTCAACACGTCCTCCGATCTCTGGGTGGTTTGATACCTCTCCGGCAAGTTAATGGACTTCTTCGCGACGCCTACCCTTGGAAGATCATCTTTGTCCAGAATTTCGGACACCTCGAGGCTCTCCTCGGAGATATCCTCGTACTCGGGATCTTTCAGTATGTCGAATGTTTTGTTGATGTTTTCGCTCACTGGTGCGGCCTCGTTACTCTTCTTGACTATATCATCCGCAATCTCTTCTTCAGCTCGTTCAGTCCGCGTCGTAAATGCAGCATCGTCAATTACCGACTTGGGAGAATCGTGCGATGCTTCAACGATTTTTTCCACAAAATCCAATTCGCTCACAGCAACTTCCACTAAGTTGTCCAGCTGCTCGCCATCCGAACTATCTTGTTCCGAGATTGGTTCCAGGCATTCCGTTATCTCTACGGGCGCAGCGTCTCCTTTGTCCCCTTTTACAACACGCTCATTCTTGTCCTCATTTACATCGCACGTGGCAAATTCCTCTTCTTCCGCCAATTCGACTTTGGCATCGATTTCAAGTTCAGATAATACATTATCCTCGGCGCTACTTGAATCCAGCTCTGTTATTATAATTTCCTGTACTTCCGATACCGCTTCACGTGGACTCTCCTCGTTATCGATTTCGACATACAAGTTAACATTTATGGCAGATTTATCGTCGGTCGCGTCGACTGTTCGTAGCAAAGTATCTATTATTTCCTCACGATTACTAGCTTTATTATCTTCACAGACATTATTTTCGCTTACATCTCCTACATCTGTTACCTTTTGCACTTTATCATTTAACATTGAAGCATTCGAAATTGCTTCAGTTTGATTATCTATACTGATTTCCGTATCGTATAGGAATCCTTTAAAACGATTATCCACATTTCTATCATTCTCAATATCCTTAACTCTGTCTAATAATTCTGCCATGGAATCAGAGATTACGTTATCAAACTTTTCGCTTTCGGAAATACTCTTTTCTTTATCGTTTTCTCTAGCGATTATGTCTAATATGTCGTCAAGTTCATCATTACTCTTTACAATTTGAGATTGTGCTAATGTATCGTCAAATGTAACATCCTGTACAGCGACATTCGTAGATTCTCCCTTTGGAAGAAAGGCCGACATGTCGCCTATTAAATTGCTTTCAGCTTCTTGATTTGTTGCGTCATCGATGCGTAATGATACATTCTTTTCCGAGAAATTATTCGAAGTGTCGTCCAAGCCCGATCTCGAATTCTCGAATTCTTCGCGTACCCCAGTGCTAATCTCATCTTGCGGCACTTCGAACGACTCGGACGTCGTCCAGTCGTCCTTATCCTGAGAAACATTTCCCGCACTGACCGTGCGTGATTGATTTCCATCAAGGTTTCTCACATCATCAGCAATATCAATTTTGACTTCTGCCTCGAGAATATTCCTCGATTTCAAATCTTCGCCGGCAAGAACGTGCGAGTTCTGATTTGAAATCGAGCTAGGGGCGCTCCGCGAGTCACCTTGCGATATCGCTTCCTTTGAACGGTGACCGGCGATGATGGGAGATTGCAGTGATGTAGTGCTAAAATGCTCGGAAAGTTTCAGAGGGTACGCCACTTCTTCCGTTTGAGCTTCTACAATGCCCTTCTCAAGTATTGCTTCACTCAAATCGCTTTGTCCCTTTATACTTCTCTTCGAATCGCTAACTCTTTCTTCATCGATAATTTGGGTTGCCGTATCCTTCGCAAGATCGAGACTTTTTCGGCTTTCCGACACTTTGGAAAGAATTTCGGAAATCGATTTTATACCGAGCTCGGAGACCAAATCATTCAGCAATTCTTCGTTTCCACTCTCTAATACCGAAGGTGGATTGTCGTCGTTTGCAATCTTGATGTGTTGCGACACTACAGATTTCTCTATTTCATTCATAATCTCTCGGCTTTTGGCTTCGTAATCAATTTCATGAGGCGAATTGGAGATGATAGAGGCTTCTTCCGGGATTATCGCCGATATTTCACTACTTATTCTGTCCGATATATATTTATCATGGCTCGAATCATCGGAAGGTATTGATTTTCTATTATTTAACGATATGGAAGGAGATTCGGTATTGATTTCCTTTTCGGGCGACACTGCTTGCTGTTCCTCATTTTTAATATCAATTGCTTCACTGAAAACTGATTTAGATATCATTTCCGATATATCTTGCGACGTATTTCTCTCGTCATTATTTGCTTTAGATTTCTCATTCGATTCGTTACCTAGGCGCGACATTATTTCTGAGAGCGCCTTAATGTCCTTTTCGATAGAACTTATGTCCTCGCTCAAGTTCTTATTATTTAACTGCAGAAAATCCAACTTTCTCGAATAAGTAAGTATGCCGGAATTGGTGACACGCGCAACATCTTCCGTTGAACACTCGGACTTGCTCGGAATAGATTTAGAGTATTCGATACTTTCCTTATTACTTATTTCCGGAATCTCGGATAGCATTGTGGAAGTCTTTGGCTGAGATTGATCGACATCAGTAATTAATCTAACATCTGCCGATTCGGTGTTAATAGTACTGCGGTCTTCAAATCTTGTATCCGACATCGTTTGCACCGTACTGAGATCCGTTTTAGCATCCTCCGCGACGTGCGATGCGCTAGTTTGTTTCATATTGGCAGTGAATTCTTCGATTTTAGTAGAAAGTGCATATTTTTCCGAATGCGCATCATTCGAAGTCGGTGACGCCGAAGGCGTGGTCCGAATTTTCTCATATACTTCCGTCGATGCATAATCGTCAAAAATAGTTCGAGCGCTATCATGAAAATCCATAGTGCCTTTTAATTCAGAAACTTTTGCATTCCTGATATCCGCAGATTTTGCAGGTTTCTGAAAACTATCTCTATCATCATACGCTATGGGTATTACGACTTTCGATAAATCGACCTTCTGCTGATTTCTCGTTAACAGATCAGATTCCGACCTAGATCTCAACAAATCGCTGCTTTTGTAAATGTCCTGTATCCTCTTAAGCGGTATTTCAGGTACTTTGAAGTCAGCCAATAACTTTGGCTCTATAGCTAACTTGTCGGTTTCTTTAATTTCTTTCTTCGATTCCAACTTTTTGCGCATCTCATAGATGGTCGTGTCATATTTCTGTCAAGTATAAACAACAGTTTTATAGGAATCAATCAAATACATTTTATACAAGTATACACTTACCTTGATTTGATTCAATAGGTTCGCTTCCAGAGCACGTAGCTGTTTCTTCGCTTGCTTCTTTGCTTCTCTTTTCAGACGCGCCATTTCAAGACGTCGTTCTGCTAATTTCTCAGTAAGAAGTCCTATCCTTCCCTCAACGTCGCTCGTATCAGACGACACGGTGGTATCTATAAAAGAGGACAGACGTCTCTCTGATCGTGATCAGAGTTACAAATTATGCAAAAAGCTACATTTAATTAGTAAATTAATAAACTGACAATTTGTCATAATTATTATAACTTTCACAAAAAAATTTTGAAACTGAATTACAACAAAATTTAATTCAAAATTTATCAAAGAAGCAGCACAATTGCCTTTTCGTAGAAAGGACAATTTTCCAGAACATGCATCATTCGAAGACGCTGAAGGCGCGGTTTGAATTTTTTTCATATTCATGTCATATACTTCTGTCGATGCAGAATCGTCAAAAATAGCTCGAGCGCTATCGTGAAAATCCGTAGTGCCTTTTGTTATCGATACAAGTTAATTAGTCTTTTATACGTGTAATAAGTGCACTTATGTTACCCCCTCCTTGCTGACACAAAACATTGGACGCTGCTGCAATGAGTTTAAATGCTGCCTGCTCCATACGAGTAACACGTTCCTCTTCTGCTCTTAACCTTGCGTGCCACGCCATCCACTCCTCGACGCAGTTCTTGCGCGATGCAAGTGCGGTTTCGCGTGCGTTCAAAATTCTAAAGGGAACAGAAGAAAACTGTACAAGCTCCGAGAATATGCATGTGCATGCCTGTTATGCAGACTGCCTCTGCAGAGAAGCTATTTTTACAATGCTTTACTCGATGCGGCGGCGGCGGAGATGTGCACAGTTTATTATTAGACCTCCCAGCGCACGACTTTAGTGAGTCAAGATTTTATTAGCGGAACACACGCGTGTCGCCGTCGAATAGGAGTTTCCGAAACGTTCGCGGTATTTAAAGGCAGAAAAGAAAAAAAATGTGATAAATGAATATAAGCGCGTGCACTTACTGTTCGAACTGTCTGTCCTGCGACCTAACGACTATGGACTTGGAGAGATCTTTCTCGCTCTCTTCGGAACTGTGATGGGAAACGGCAAAAGTACTAATCTGAGACATGGATGCATTTTGAGTATCCCGCTCGTTCCTGGGAAGACTCTCATCCTTATCGAATCTTCTACTCGAAATTTGAGCGGATCCGTTTTCCTTACTCTCGTTCGTTGACTCGCTCGATAACTTCGAGCTTTTATCCTTGACAATCCTCGAATGCCTCTTAACGAGTGCCTGAAGCGAAGTTTGACTTTCATTAAGATCTAACTCGTCCAAGATTGAACCTTCCTTGCTATTAACTAACTGAAGCAATTCGTTCTTCACTTTCGTTCCCTTATCGTGATACTTGATAAACTGATCAACCTCCTCCAGTATATGAGAACCTGATTTGGACCCCAATATGTTTTCCGATATACTGGACGATGATTTCGTTTTCTGATACTTGGAATTTTTACGTTTCGAGCTTGTTTTTAGCTCGGCACTATGCTGCTTTTTAGATATGTCTCTATCGCTCGTGATAGACTTGTCAACTTTTTTAGAGCTCTTACTCGTGCTCGTCTGTGATATCTCGGAGATTTGTGACTGCGTCGTTCTCGAAACGGTGTCCTGGGTCATCGCGTTTATCTCCTCCTCTATAGACTCGCTGGTAGCGGTAACAGCATTGGACTCTTTCTCCTTTGCGACCGTCACGGTTTGTATGGAGGGATTTGTTAATTGCGACGACTTCGATCCTGTAGACAACACTTCCGCTATCGACGTTCTTTTCGACAACTCCTCCACTAACGTATCGGATTCGGATTTCACACAATCAGGTGCTGACGCATCTACTTCTGGTCTTGATTGCGACAGTCTGATCTGATCCTGATTTTCCAAGAGCCGGATATTTATCATCATCGGATGATGGCCCTGCATCATTTTTGACTCCATGTCCAATCTCTGATTTTGCTTTTGTAGCAAAACGTCTGCTCTGGGCATTTTTTCTTCGTATTTTCGAGACCTCAGCTCGTACTTCGATAAATCGCTTTTCTTTTGTACGGGACTTTTCTCCTGTTCTTTACTCTCGGTCAGATCGTCGGCTCTTGCCGCGGATGTATTGCTTTCTTCGGTTAAATTTATAAGTATATTGGACTTCAGCCAGTCAAATTTGGATGCGTCGCTCTCGGACGCTTGCAGGCGTGCGTCCAACTGAGACCGATCGTGTTGAGATTTGTCCGAATCGATCAAGGAGCTCATAGAGCTATTACTGCGTATATCGTAACCCTTCATAGGACCCGATAATCTTCTCGGCGATTGGCTGTCCGCGGTCCTCTTCAATTTCGTTAAGATATTCTTCGTCGACATTTGCAAATTAAACATGTCCCTCTGTTTTTGCAGCATGCGCTTTCGTTCTTGGCTTGTAATTTCGTATAACAATTTTAATCTGTCAACAAACAGAAAAATTTAGTAAAAATTAATTTAAAAAATACAATACACAAATATAGTTACACAAATGTTACTTACCTCTGAATTTCATCCTTCTCTTGTTGTAGCTTCAGAAGCAGCGCTCTTTGTTTTTTTCTCACAGGACGGCTGTCCTGTCCAGTATCTTTCAACGCGCGTTTTTGCTCTTCCAGCTGCGCCAATTTCTTAGTTTTGTCATTTAATGTTTTTTCCCGAAACTTGAACAACTCTTCGATTTGATAGCTTCGTTTATTTTCATCTCTCAAGAGTCGTGCAATCTGGAAGTATAAAAAAAATATCAAATTAATGTGTGCAATTACAAATACAAACACGGTACATATGTAACGAAATATACCTCTGAACCTATATACTGATTAAAAGAACACGTAACACCTCGAGTCGAGATGCTAATTTCAGTCCCGGTTTCCGTTTTTATCGACGAGGTAGTTTCGTGCAAACTAATCTCCGACATGGTCCTTATTCTGCTGGGCACCGATATCTCTTCTATTTGACCCAGATCTTCGAATTGTTCGGCCGAATTCAAGGACAGCTGGGGGACTTCGTTTTCCCTCAAAAATGATTCGTACGCGTTATCACGGCTCTCCGACAATTTATTTTGCGCGTTTCGTTCGTCCGCCGATATATCCGTTTGGGTCGCTATATCGTTCACCGTCTGCGTTTGCACCTCCGCCACTTTGACCGGCGCTTTATTAAACTTTCCATAATTAAATCCATAATTCGATTCATCGACGTTGCCTTGGTTTGGAATGTAATGATCTCTACTGAAATACGCCTCATCGCTTGATTTTCGAGGCTCGGCGATATCTTTTTTTATATAATCAGCTGGATTCCACGTTGCTGTAAGAAAAACATTTCAAATAGTTAATTATTCAGTTTAGCCAAATATTGATTAAATTATGCTCATTAGACACGTTTTTGTACGAAACAAAAGAATCTGACGGAAAAAAACATCTGTTCTCTTTGCGAATATTTATTGTTAGTATAATATATTTATATATAATATATTCCACACACTAATGGGCGTCTTACTTTTCTCAAGCACAGCATCGGTATCGATTGCAACAGCTGCACAGTCTTCTACGATTTGCACGTCTTTCTCTTCATCCTTTTCATCGGCTTTCTGTGAATTCTTCTGTTCTTGCATCTCGCATTTCGTGTTGTACAAACACTTTTCAACATCCATTACTTGTCGGAGGGACTCATTGTAAGAATCGTAAAGATGTAGCTCTGCCTGAAATTGCATATGCAAAGCTGTTGGATGTATCTGAAATTCCAATGCACTTTTACTTTATTAAAATATATCAGTATGATTGAGTAAACGTCGTGACAACGTTTATTTATACTTACCAATTGTACCTCCTCTTGCTCCTTCTCAGAATTTATTATCGTCGGTTTGTACTTCGAGCATCTCGCATCCGCTTCCGAATCGCTGCTCTGCGTCAAGTGTCTTCTTCGTTTAGATCTAAACATAAGATTCATTTTTTCTGGCGTCATTAAATTATGAAATTCTGGCTGGGAGTAGCCGTCTCTGAGAGAGATTCTTCTAGGATCAAACAATGTCTCCGGCAGTGTACTGTCGTCCACATCATTTGAATCGTCGTTAATGGACGTTTCCTTAGTTGCAATAATGCTCTGAGAACACGATTCCTCGTCTTTTGTAACGCTTGTACTCGCAGACTGTGTCACAGAATGTTCTGTATATTTGAAATTCTCTGTTGAAGTTTTCGTTGACCTGGCAGAATTAATGGTCTGTTTACTTTCCATAGCCGTTTCGAGATCTTTGCTCTTTGATGGCTGTGTAGAACTCGTAGGATAAACACTCATACGACTCCTGGAATTATTTGTTTCGGATATAAATTCAACGTCTTCTGACGGCTCTGAATTGACGCTGTGTAGTTTATCTTCGCCTTTGTTACTCAACAGCTTACTTTTATCAGGCACTCTCTTCGTTTGCTCCTTATAGATAGTATTTAATTTGTCTTTCAACAGTCTATTATCTGAGTCAGATTTATGTTTCATGTCTTCCATTTCCGACTTTTGCTTTAAAAAATAGTGGCTTATGTCTTTAGATTTACTTTCAGAAGAAGTACTAGATGAAACGCCCATGTTATTATCTCTCAATGTAACTTTATCCAGCACTTTCCAAGCTGGAAAGACCGATGATTCGTTGCTAGATATTCGAATTTTAGATTCCGGAGGATTGTCTTTCGTCAATTCCACAGACTGTGCATTAAAGGATCTCTGTCTTTTGTCACTGTCTTTCTTAGCAGTAGATGCTACAAAATTCTTATCTTTTGATTTTATCGATAAAAAGTCATTAAGTTTTGTAACATGGAAGGATCTGTCATTTTTTGATAATTTTATGTTGCTTACATCGCTGGCATCTTTCCTAGAGACGTGTCTCGGACTTCGACTGCGTCTCACTTGATCTTGCATGGACTCGTCCCTCTTTACACCCAAAGAATCATCCTTTTTCATCCTCTTAGATCTGTTTTCCTTCTCTCTGTCCTTCTCTCTAGAGCCATCTCGAACTTGTTCCTTTTTCTTGCTTAAATTAGACGCTATGGAAACATTTGGCGCTTTCAATGGTTCTATGGTCTCGCAATTAATAAATGACGATCCATCTGAGGAGAAGTCTAATTTTCTCTGTACTCTTTCACCAGTTCTTAGGCCTTTATCAGATCTGTCATGCGCAAATTCCTTTGCAGCTATTTCAGACTTTGCCGAAGGCAGCAGCTCCTTCGAAATGGAATTTTCTCTGCTGGAGAAATCCAGTGTTTTTGGAGAAATTTTCAGATCGGGCACTTTCAGCGGTTTGATGAAGTCCATTTTTTGTACAATTTGATTTTGTGCACTAGTCGCTTTCAATATCGAAGAAGCCAAACTGGTTTTTGTTGGGGAACTCAAATCACGTGATATGGCGCCGGTATCAATATGATCTTCTAAAGCGAGCTTTTGTTTCACTGCGCTAATAAATGTAAAAGGATATGGCTGTACAGGATAATAGGATAGCAAATTTTTCAAGCTCTTTACGCCAATTGCGGGCTCTTGCAAGTCAATTGATTGCTCTTCGAGAGTCTTCTGTTGCCCCTCGATTTCTCGGGTAATCTGTGCTGCCTACAATGATAAATACCATATGAAATTTTCTGTACATGCTTACGAGCAGAAAGGTTACAAGTAAAAAAAAATCACTCACAACAGCTGAGGTCTCGGCACGTTTGGCAATAACATCTGGGTCCGAGAAGAAAACATATCTTTTTTTGTCAACGGATTCCTCTTTCTGGCCACTACTCTTCATATTCTCATTTTTGAACTACATAGATAACGACCCATAAAATTACCATTGTCATCCATGTTCCTCATGAATACCCATACAATTATAGTGGAGTGCAATAACATCTAAACACAACAGAAAAAAATACAATTTAATATTAGAAAATATTTCCATAACAATATAAAATATATCTTTACATTTAATCAAATCTCATCATTTACAACAACACTATTTAGCAGCATTTTGCAAGTACAAATAGGAATTCGTGAATCGATATGGAATTGACTAATTTATAATTTTTACAATACTTCACCGTCCTTACTCATTCATATATAACTATAAATTGCTTACATGCACTTTTGGAATACCTAAGAAAGATATCTTTTTAGCAATAAAAATCATATTTTTACAATAAATTATATTTTTTAATTGAATTATTTTATCATTTATAATAGCACTATTTAACTATAAGTCTTGCAATCAAAATTGAGGATTCGTGACTCGATTATTTACAATATTTATAATAAATATACTTTGTCACTGTATCTTCTTTTATGTTCTAATTGCTTGTACAAGCTTGGAAAACCCAAGTAAAAGATATTTTAACAACATAAAATATTAATGTTTAATCAAATAATTTTATTACACTGTTGGCAACAACACTGTTTAAATCAAAGTTTAAAATTCACGAATCGACTATTTTAGAATGTTTACAATAAATGTGCTCTACTGTTATTTTTACTTATTTGCATTTTAATTGTTTTCACAAGCTTAAAATATCTAAATAAAGATATTTCCTTAACAATATTAAAATATATCTTTTTACGTTTAATCAAATAATTTCATTGTTTGCGACAGTGATGAGGATTCGTGAATTGATTATCTTGCATTGTTTATAGTAAATGTACTCTACTGTCGTACCCTCATTTATTTATTCTAATTGCATACGCGAGCTTTTTAACGCCTAAGTGAAAAATATTTTCTTAACAAAATATGTCTTTTTAATCAAGTAATTTCATCATTTGCGACAGTGCTGTTTATGTCTATTTCTACCAATGTAGATTAACGTCAATTTCAGTTTATTCTTTTTCTAAATTTCAGAACTAGAAGATATAAAAAGTTAAACCGAGATTAAAGTTAATCAACATTGATGGAAATGGACATTAGCAACAAATCTTGTAATCAGAATCAAGAATTCGCAGTATCGCAACGGAATCAGTTTAGAATTTTCACGATAAACTTATGTGCTCCACCGACCTGTATCGTTACTTATTTCCGTTCTAGCTTATACAAACTTGGAATACCTATGTACAATGATTAAGAGGTAAACCTAATTAAGGCATCGAACGGCAGGTGAACGATTCTCCTTGATCCAGCGCAATTTACTCAGCGATGAGGGCAAGGTAAACGTGACATCCCCACGGAAAACGGTAATCGCGCATACACCGCACGTACGCCGCACTGGCCGCACACACGCATATACACATGTACATACGCATATACACACACACACACACACCACACACCGATTTGCGGCGCCGTAGTTTAAAGATCAGCGACACGTCGCGATCCGGTAGGATTGTAGGAATCTGCGGCCGACGGTTCCAGGTGATTCCCAGGCCTTACCTCCCGCGGAGGCGTCGCGCGGCGTTCCCTTTTCACCACTCTTCACCGCGCGTCAATTCCACGTATGTGTCGCGTGCGTGCAAGCGCACGTATTATATATATACACACACACACGCACGCTCACAGGGGCAGTTTGTCACAACGGCCGTTTGTAAACCACGATCACGTGGTACGAACGTCGGGTACACTCGCCGATCAACCCGATCGTTCGCTGCTCGCGATTAAACATGGCGGCGCGCCGCGTGTACGCGCACACGAGCGTGATCGATAGCGACGATAGCGGCGACGCGAGCGCGTGAGTTCCGTGGAGGCCGTGCAAGTGCGTGCGGCCGCATAACCAATCCCGTGCACGCTCCGCTCTTCGTCGCGCCACCGATCAAGCGTATTTATTGCTATTTCGCCATAGGAATGAAAGCCACGCACGTTCCCGATGTCAAGACAGATCGCAACATATCTCTGCTGTCATTTTTTCACACACACACACACACACACATAACTCCCCACCAATACTTTTTCTCTGTCTCACTCGTTGCTTCAGCGGAATTTCAGCAAACTACGTCACACACATCTGTAGACGCGATGTGTATGCGTATGTTTGTACATACATATACACGGGGACAATAGTGCCGCACATCTGAAGTTGCATGCATACTATAGAGTCCTAGATTATCAGAGAAGCGCGACCGGTGTTACGAGTCCTGATTGGACTCGCAAATGGCCAATCATAAGATTGATTTATCGCTATTATAAATGGCTGCCGAATAAATCAATCTTATGATTGGCCATTCGACGTCATTTTTAATATTTTCTAGTACTTTTGCGATACTGCCATAAGCCGGTCGCGCTTCTCTGATAATCTAGAACTCTAGCATACTAGAGAGACCAATAAGAAACACGCTTTCCGTCCATCGCGTGCTTCTCATTGGTCTCTCTAGTTATGCATTCAACTTCAAATGTGTAGACATTAAGGTCCATCTACAATGAGAGTAGTAAGTCGTAAACCGTAAGAAATTAACCAATCACAGTTGATTATTCTTCTTATATTCCACTGTGATTGGTCAATTTCTTACGGCTTACGACTTACTACTCTCATTGTAGATAGACCTTTATTGTCCCCGTATGTACACCACGGCTACGGTCCATTTAATGCTGCAAATCCTTCGGAGCATTTTTTGATTGGTCAATTAGTAAAAATTCTTTCTTCTGATTGGTCAGTCAAGTGTTTTGAAGCATTTGTAGCGTCAAGTGGACCGCATCCAACATTATAATGTTTTAAAGACGACTAAGGGGCTGTCTACAATACGTCGTATGTCAAATCGTAAGCCGTAAATCGTAAGAATTGACCAATCACAGTTGAATGTAAGAAAAATATTTGACTACGATTGGTCAATTCTTAGTTAGTACTTAGTATGATATAAGTAATGACTAACGATTTATTGTAGAAAGTTCCTAAAAGACATCTTAAATTTCATGAGACGTCAGAAAAAAGTATCACAAAGACGTCAATAAAGCTGGTTCTACATTAGTTGCAAGCCGATCACAAGCTTGTTGCGACAGCCAATCTGAAGCTTGCATTTTAAAATCAATGCTTCGGATTGGCTGTCGCAACAAGCTTGCGATCGGCTTACAACTAAGGGGCTTTCTACAATAAGCCGTTAGTTACTATTCATATCATACTAACTAAGAATTGACCAATCGTAGTCGAATATTTTTCTAACATTCAACTGTGATTGGTCAATTCTTACGATTTACAGCTTACGGTCTGACATACGACGTATTGTAGACAGTCCCTAATGTAGAACCGGCTTAAGGTAGTACACTCGCGACAATACCATTCAAAAGTTAGGTCTCATCGTGCGCTTGGTACTGATATTCCCCACTCCCACCAATGAGAGAAAATATTTGGTTGCGCCTGTCCATAGACCGCACGCACACGCAGAAAAAGAATTAATCAGATAGAGACGCAGACTAACGCAGCGCGATTGAAGTGACGAATGTGACAACGTCGCACTGTCGTCGATAACTTAACCTCGTCCACCTAACCTCAAAAAAATTGTTTATCAGGTGATCATTTGCAAGGTAGATTAAAATGTCAGATAGAGTGCGATATCTAACCTCGAACGTCCCGAACCGAACGCGATATACGCGAGAAGTGCGGTGTTGCCAGATGCTCAATGGCCGCCTCCTTCACTTGCCTCCATGTCAATCAAAATCGAAAATTATATTTTTTAAAAGGCTCTATTTTCCAAACTAAATGGTAGAAAATAATGAATTTTTTTCATAATATCCGTTTCATATCCCTTCATCACATACTCGTTTTTATATTAAAATCTCAATATTAG